ATTTATCCCACAGTAAGAGTAATTTCTCTCCACAATTCCACATTTCCCCATGATGTCTTGTTGAATTCGGCAAGATCCGTTTCATACGATGTTAACTGGGCACCCATTATGAGACACGGCTCCCCACTCGCCGCCCCCGTTGTAATTCCAGTAAAGGAGGCAGCCGGTGGGCGCGCGCGCATGTGAGTGTGATAAACCGCAGGAAGTGCTGTCAAAGCACTATGCGTCCTCTATTCAGGGGCATAAGAGAGGCAAATCTATCATCCCAGGAGGAGATAGGTTTCCTTTCAACAGAGATTCAGGCCCTGTTGCATAAACAGGCTGTGTCTGTTGTGCACTCTCAGGACAGAGAAAAGGGTACTCCATGTACTTCCTGGTTTCCAAGAAGACAGGAGAATTCAGACCCATTCTGGATCTTCGCATCCTGAATCAGCACATTGTCTGCAAAAAGTTCCATATGTTAACCATAAAACAATTACTGGCACTGTTGCAGCCGGGCGATTGGTTCGCAAACCATCGACTTGAGACGCTTACTTTCATGTCAAAATTGCTCCAAAGCACAGAAAGTATGCGTTTTGCCTTCCAGGGGATAGCCTACGAGTACAACAGACTACCGTTCGGCTATCCCCTATCCCCACGGACGTTCAGCAAATGTGTGGCCACAGTGCTCCAGCCGCTTCGCAACCATGGCATGAGGGGTTTATTTTATCTCAACGACCTCATAGTCATGGCCAGGTCCAGGGAATGGGTAATGTTCCACACAGCCCAATTGATCCTACACCTAACCAAGTTGGGATTTGCGGTCAATTGGAAGAAGAGCTGTCCCATACCTCACCAGCAGGTGGATTATCTGGGGATTTTGCTCAAAGCAGCCCCCATCGAGAGTGAGGGGTACGCCCCCATCGAGAGCGAGGTGTACACTCCATCGAGAAGCAGGGCACTCTGTCAGAGGACATACAGACTTGGTGCGAGGAAGGGAGTCTAGAGCCTCTGTCCGGTACATTAGGCTCTATTCTATCCTGAGGGGATCAGGAAACAGCGCCCAGTGGTGCATGTCTCCACCCAGCAATGGGAACTGCCATCGGTGCTCAAGGCTTTGGTTACAGAACCGTTTGAGCCTCTGGAGCTCTCCTCCCTGTAGGCGCTATCATTGAGAGAGAAATAAGCAAAAAGAAACAGCTTTGCTGCTTGCTTTGACGAATGCGAACTGGTCGCTCTATCGGTGCACCCGAGTTGCCTTCTGGTTCGTGGTGACCATAGCAGGGTGACACTCAGACCGAATCCCTCCTCTGTTCCCAAGAACCTAAGGAGTTCTTCCAGGTCGAGGGCTTTAGTCGTCCACCTATGCACGGCGGCGTCTTGGTCTACGCCAGGCCCGTTCATAAGGTAAGTATCTCTTAGACATGTCTGGCTCCTTTTTCATCGTTGGTGCTTGCTGGGGCAACACAGGACTGGTGAAAGGAGCAGGGCTGTGGGTCAGTAAGCTGTATCCGACCCCCTTGGACATAATGCTATGACGACCCCTGCTTTGCTATCTCCTGTTGTGTGTGTGTGGCCCTTTAATGTTCTTCCTTTGTCTGTCAGCATTGATTGAGGACACCTGGCTGCTAGTTCCGGAGGGTTAAAAGGCCTGAGCCAGACTCTCGATGACTCTCTCCGCGGAGGACCTGTTTTGGGAGAGCAGCCTTTTCGTTTATGCTTTTGCCTTGCCTTTATGTTAGTTTTGTTTAACGTTGGGTTGTGGTTAATACATATATTTTCATATATATTGTCCTTGCCACGCTTTTGTTATGGCCAAGATCCAGGTCATGACAATGCACTTACGTTGTCCCATGCTCCTTAGGGACCTGGGAAACGTAAGCCCCATACAGGGCTGGAGGACTCTCCCCACTAGGGTCCGTGCACACACTACACGAGGTAAGCGTGTGAGTGTGGAGGACATAGTACACTTACGTTTTCCCTATGCTCCTTAGGGACCTTGGAAACGTGGTGCACAGTGTGTAGTCCAGTGGTTCTCAAAGTGGGGGGCGCAGAGACATGACAGGGGGGGCGCGAGAGACCAAGAGGAAAAATGGTTATTAAAAAAAAAAAAATCGTAAAAAAAAAAAAAAAAGATCATATTTTGAAAAAGTATTGATTCGAAAATAATATGATACAGTACTATTACGTCTGGGTCTCTGTGTTTCATTAAAGCTCGGCTCTGTGTGTGTGTGTGTGTGTGTGTGTGTGTGTGTGTGTGTGTGTGTGTGTGTGTGTGTGTGTGTGTGTGTGTGTGTGTGTGTGTGTGTGTGTGTGTGTGTGTGTGTGTGTGTGTGTGTGGAACGAGCCATTTTGTGTGCGTGCGCGAGCGAGAGAGAGATAGCGCACCGGTACCGGAGATCGTTGTTGTTAGCTTCTGGTGCTAGTGAGCTACGCTAACGGATATAAGGAGTTTTTTTAACAACAAAGTGGAGGAGAGTCCTCTCCTGTCAGACTGAGAGACTCAGTGAGCTAAAGTGTTATCTCAGTGGGTCTCAAACGTTTTGGTCCCCATTAATGTAAACAATTATTTCCGAGGCACACGTTTATATGATCATTATAGTTATAAAAAAATAAGAGAATAAATTAAAAACAGGTATGAAATACTATATGACATTAAAAAAAGAATAAAGTTGAAAAGGGGAGTGATTTGTAAAATATCCATAAAGAAAAAGTAAATCTGTTTACAGTTCTGTTTCAAATGGGTGTTGAGAGATGTATCCATAGATCTCTTCATTTTGCTCTCAAAGTGCACCAGATTGATGCATTTAACTTCAATATTTAAAAATCTTCCCAGGGGAGCTTGCCCCCGGACCCCACTATGTGAGGTCCACACACCACCTATAAAAATAGCACTTTACCCCTGCTTACACCTATATGCCGTGAGCTGATTATCGAGCCTTCATTGTAACAGTCGCGGGACCATTGTGTATTTGCGTGGGGAGTGTTGCAGTAGAAAATTCCACTGTAGCGCCCGGTACATTAATGGGAAACCCTAAATGTTTGAGCAGCCTCTAACGTCAAGCTACCCCATAGCACCCCCAAAAGAAATCTCTGGCGCCGCAACTGAGCCTGACTATTTGTGTTGGGGGGGCCCGACTTTTTTTTTTCTCCTGACAGAAAAAGTTTGAGAACCACTGGTGTAGTCACTTGCACTGGCACCTGCAGGGTGGAGCTATGGGCTTATTCAGACCAATTAGGCTCTACCCAGCCAAGTAAGCTGTGGCCCCGACTTCTCCACGGTCTTAACCGGGTGATAGGAAGTTGGGGTGCGGTGGCTGTTAGCCAAAGGCCGGTCAGGGGCAGTGGTGGGTCGATGTTGTGGGACGACAGGGCGTTTATCCATCGGGGCTCCACCCACTGTACCCATAGAGTCCAGTAGAGGGCGGAGCCTGTGTGAGATAGAATGGTTGGTTACGTATTGTTACCCTAGTTCTATAAGCACAGACGGAGCCCTCTACCTAGGGGCCCTGTCTTTCCTATGCTGCTCGCTGAAGAGGGTGTAGGATGACAGTCAGGAGGCGTAGCCGCCTTATATACTGTGTGCCTGCGCGCCCATTCAGGTAGGCTCGCCCTGATTGGCCGGCTACGTTTATACAACTTCAGTGTGTGAACGCTCGCGTATCATTGATGAGAGTAGTACCCATAGAGTCCAGTTCTATAAGCCTGTGCGTATAGAACTAGGGTTACAATACGTAACCCACCGTTTCACCGCCTGTGAACAACTAAAAAGGGTCTTCACTTCTCACCTCACTACATAGGAGATAGACGCCAGTAGCTCGGAAAACTAACGAAGACAAATGGATCTTTGGCCACTACTGGACAAACTCTTTTAGCTAACTCTCAGCTTCTTATTTGCAGTCACTGGAGCTTTATAATGACCCACACTGACAGATTTGTGACAAAACGGGAATGTCGATTAAATTGAACCTAAAGTCTATATCATCTCCACTCTGAGGTTTATCTAAGAGGCGAACATCCAGCTGATCCTCTGTTTCTTACGACCAGCTCTTATCGAACTGAACCTGAATCCTGAAGCTTCATTCATTTCACCAGACAGTGAAGTGATACGTGTGTTTGCTGGGTTGGCTGAGTAGACTCTGTTCTTCTCTGCCTGTCATCTCTTTTTTATTTATTATTTGTTTCGTTTTCATGACAGTCTTAATCTAAATGAGGTTTCGCGAGGCGCCATAGACCGACAGAAAGTGTGTGTGTTTGTGTGGGTGTGTGTGTGCACACACGCGTGTCTGTGTGATGTGCCTAGTTGAAAGGTTGATTGAATATTTTTGGAACTTCTTTACGCAGATCCTCCGCTTCTAAGGTTGCGTTCACACCAGCCTTGTATAGTCCGGTTGAATCGAACCCTGGAGATTTTAACCCCTTGTTGCGGTTTGTTTGTGTCCACTGAAACATAGGAAGCGTAGTATTTACGTGTCTGATTATATAATCCCATGCGCCGTCCACTAGAGTCTGTTGATATGCTCTCCAGATTAACAGCAGCATGAAAATAACCTGCCGATGCTCCATTTCTACAGTAGAAATTGCTGGGATTTGCGTTTTTACTCTCTTAATGTCTGACCAATTGTTGAACAGTATTTCAATGCACATTACTTTTGTTTACAGTTTATAGTCCGTTTGCCTGAGATGCGACTCGCGTTTGCCATACAAAGGAACTTCATAGGACACTTAACTCTGATTGGTTAACTCCTGCTTTTGCTTCTACAACTTTCTGATACCAGTGGTGGAGATTATTGACCAGAACATGAGTAAGCTGAATGCAACTCCATTTTAGGAGTTTTTCCATAGCCCATTGAAACTCCATACAATACAGTGAAGGGAACAGTTACTGGGTCATATATAATCCAAGCATCTGTTAATCAGAAGTGAATAGAGACACCTTTTACCCAGTTTGTTATTTGAAATCACCAATTATAAATTGTTATTTATTAAACTCACTGTTTTGTCATGTTGCTGTGTTACAGGTATTGCGTATCTGGGGGGTGTCTGCAGTACCAAGAGGAAGTGTGTGTTAGCTGAGGACAATGGACTCAACCTGGCCTTCACCATAGCTCACGAGCTGGGACACAAGTAGGTTTCACTCTCCTGCATGTCATGATGTCATACTGATACTCTCATGTCCATGTTGCCGTTGTGAGAATGTTGGGAGAGTGTGCGGTGGACCAGTCCAGAGTACAGACTGGAGTCTAAATCCCTTCCATGTTGATAAGGAACTAAATATGCAATTCATTTAATAAACAGGTTTGTGCATTGGCTTTACAGTTTATTAAATCAGATATAGTTTATGGATGCTGCATTACAAGGCATTGCATGAGTAAGAAATATAATAAAAACAAAGAAATATAGTAAATATAAAACATATCAACAGTAGAAAAATATGTGCTGTATTTATAGAGCATCTATTGAATACACAGTGTAAAATATACAGAGTGAGTTAGACTACGCTGTAATAGACCAACTTTCTATTAAAGGTCACCTATCATGCTATTTTTAGGCAATAGCATAGGTCTCAGATATATACAAATAAATAAAAAACATGTCTATGAAGTGTTTTGCTCAAAATACCAAACAGATCACCCATTCTAGCCATGCCTCATATCCATCTGTTTCACTTCCTGTTTCAAAAATTGCTAAAAATAAAAAAGGAGGTGTCTGAGCTCATGCGGGACCCAGCAGCTACTGTCTAAACTAAATGCTGCCGTGATGAAACGCCATATCATGGATTATCAAGGATCATTTCTGAAACAGTTTGGAGCTCAAAGGCTTTCTCTCTTGCCGGTTATACCACAAGGTGAGTTCCTTTTTACTTCCTGCTTCTTCACATACATGCTCTCCAGTACAGGTTAGCTCTGAATGTTAGCGATGCTAATGTAAACACCGACCATATTACGTCCAAAACAGTCGGGCATTGTTTCTGATAGCAACGTTTCTGATAGTGCTGTGAGTCCGCTGCCGATATTATGTGAAATCGCCGCAAATCTGGATCAGCTCCGTTGTAGCCCCGTTTTTAGAGATTTGGGTACGGACGAAAAGAGAGAGGGTTTTATTTTCTGACGCTGCGTGAGTTCCCTGACACACCGGGGACCAGTGGCGAGCCGTGACTTTTATACCTGGGCCCTCTGACCCCCACCCCTTCCCTCGAGTTATTACGTCACAGCGTATACTTCAGCGGAATATCAAAACATCGGCCCGGGGTGCAAAACGCATCAATGAAAGCGACCCTCTACCACACAAAACAACACCTGTAAATAACCCTATTTGTGTTCTTTGAAATTGAAAAGGATATTGCATTGTGTTTGTTACTTTCGTTTTAGTTGTATGTCTTAAGTGTAATTTGGCATGCTTTTATTTTGAAGGCGAGTTAACGCTGTTGACAGGAAGTTGTTGTTGCTATGGAAACAAGAAAAGTTTCACAGCGGGCGGAACTTGTCATAAAGTTCGCGATAATAACACCCACCCATTTAGAGGGAAGATATGATTGGTCAATTGTACTGTCATTTGACATTACTCTCTCGTTCAGTTACTATAGCGGGGCCCTCTGTGAATTCATAGCTGGACCGCATGGACGTCCCACGCTCCTCTCTTCACACTCGCAGAGACGAGCTTTCATTTAACCCTTTACATTCCAACAGAAACTGAATAGGCAGATTCGAAGGATTTATTTCTTTGGAAATGTTATTTTAAATACAATTAAATCAAGTTATTTTGGTAAAACTAATGAAAAATATAGCTAAAAAGATATATTTTTTTAAATATAAAAAAAATATATATATTTTTTTAATGTTTTTAAATATTATTTTGTAGAATATCTTAGAGGGCCTAGAGGGCCTTGATGGCTCGCCACTGCCGGGGACACATATTTATGTATAAAAGACATACAAAAGTGCATTTTGCATCATAGGTCTCCTTTAACACAAAATATATGAACATAGCATACATTATACAATATACAATCATGCAAGTTGCTCTTTTTTGTATTAATAATTAAATGCAATGAGGTATTTGAATACAATGTGTTCCCGTTGTATGTTGTCTGTTAAAAAACTAAATTATAGGTAGGGGAGTGCTCTGCCAGCCAGAGGAGGTGTGGTCCAGGCTGAACATTTAACCAATCAACAGCCAAATGAATTGTCCCTCACACCTTATCATCTGTTGAATGAAAATCTGTTTCTACTCAGACCCATCAGACAAACCAACAGGGATGGTGTAAGAGGATATGTCCACGGTGGAGTTCAGTAGAGAGTTGTTCCCCCTCCATCTCACCCTGCCCTCCAGAAGCGGTGGCTGTGAACAGTGAACCATTTTGAGTTGCTTTTTTTAAGTGCGAGTCTCACTTCAGGATAAATAGCAGGCTGTATTTGATACACTCTGCAGTGCTCTGACTGCTGGACACATTTTCTGTGTCTTCTGTCCACAAACAGTGAGAGGACGGGTTCCCTGACTGATGTTTTCTGTGCAAGCAAACATGCCGGATACTTCAGACTGATTCCCAAACTCCACTTTCTCTCCTTTTGCTCTTTTCTCTCAGCACATTCATGGAGACATAACACTGGGAAGGATCACAGATTAAATGTCCATTCAGGCTCCCTCAGGATGTCCTACAGTACATTTGCTCCTGCTGTTCTCCATTTACACTGCTTTGTTTGCTTTTATGCCACTTCATTGTTATTTTGTAGTGTGCCCTTTGCAGCTGTATGGAATATAGTGTGACAAAATAATGTCAGTTCATGGTGCGATCACTCGTCATGTGACCTGTGTAGAATGAGTCTCATGTGATGATGAGGGATCAGTTATGAGAGGGAGATTGTAACCCTAGTCTGTTCAAAGAGGATCTTTGGATGTAACAAACATGTCACCCATATTAATACACTTGTTATCATGGGATCTGTCATCCACACGCAGGTCATGTGACCATCAAGGTTTCTGAGCAAAAATCATGCCTCACAAACTTCAGAGCAGTTTGGTGATGCTTAACTTTTTTAAATGAAGAAAGAGATTGGAGGTGATGTTCATACTGTATAAAGTTTGAGCTATATTCTTGTTACCAATAGTCCAGGGACAGTTGTGACTCTTGTCAAACATTACTTTCCCATTTAAGGAAAAATAGATAATTTAGTTCCTGAAAGATTATTTTATTTCGTTTATGAATAAGTATGGGTTCCTCAATTGGTGGATACAGAAAATCAATAGAAAAGGTCTTGCAGTGAGGCCATAAAGAGTGACTGGGACATTAATGTAAGCTCAGGCGAGTTCTTCTGCACGCTGTAAGAGGTGTGTTAAAGCTGGAAACATGCACTCTGCTGCACATAAAGGCATCATTCACAGGCCTGTTAACCTGAGCGTGTGCCAGACTCACCTGGACATTATGCCAAGTGTATGAGGCAGCTCCCTCAGGACTCTTCACAGTTTACACAGAGCTGGCAAACACTGCCCATGAACATGCACATTAAAAGATAACTGTGTTACATGAGCACACACACTGGTTCACAAACACACAAACACACACACACAGTAACTATTAAAGCTTCTATAAACCCTGAGCTCAGGCTGGCGTAGAATTGTAAGTTTTAATGGAAACACAGCACACTAAGGTAGTTTGAATAAAAGCTGCACACATATTGTATATACTCATTTATGTTAGCAGGTAATATGTATCTATCACAGTGCAGCATTCAGTATACATACATTATATCAGCTAAGTTACTGCAGTGTTCCCCTGAGGCTGATGAGCATGTTCTTAGTTTTGTAGGTATTTGGTCTGAACCAAAATATTGATAAAATGAATACCTGGTAGAGGTGCTGAATAAAAAGTCTAAATATCACCAAATAGATTACAATTCATCCTGTGGAGAACTTTAAGTTTGTACTAAACTCCATGAGAGTCAAACCAGTAGTTGTTCCAGTATTTGACCCTTAATAAAATCAATCAATCACATCGCCATGCCTAGAACCACCATGCTAGTTAGTATGTTGGTCATGTTAGCCTACACGTCGATCTACCATGATATCTAATAACATGATTCTGAATCATTAGAATGAAGTCCGACATGTAGCCCACGCATCGACAGCCACTTCATTGGAGAGCTGCAGTGATGACCCTCTGTATAATGTGAGCTACACAGAGCATGTTAGAGCAGAACAATCTGTCAGTGTTTGGTTACACCGAGGTATTGATGGTCTTACTGACGTCCAGCGTTCTCCAGTCAGTGACACACATGTAGCTTTTGTCAGTTTCTCCGCTTTTCTTTGCCTTTTCACTCCCATGCAATTCATGGCAAAAATCCATGCTGGAAAGATGGGAGGAATGGGTTAAGGTTTCCAGATGAATCGTGCGTTAATGCGTTAATGCGTTAATGCATTGACAGCCCTACTTTTTTATATATATCGCTCCTTCAGCAGCTCCTCATCAGAGGATTGTATTTATGTGTGTGATTGTTGTTTATCTTTTAGATTCATGCCAAAATCACATATCCATTACACCATCCTGTTGATGCATGAACAGCACACAGCACAGATGATGATCAGCTGCTGGGGTGATTATGTAATACTCTCTCAGTCACATCTGCTCTCTGAAGCAGCTGTTCAAAGCCAGTTAAACATGATAATGACAGCTCAGCAAACAGGAAGCTCCCTCACAGATCTGCAGCCAGAGACAGACCGGCATCCTCACTCATTATTGACTAATAGTAATGATATCATCTTTTTTTACTGTATACACTTAGGCCCAATCCCAAACCACGCCCTACACCCTACCCCTACACAGTCCCCCTCCGTGACAGAGTGACACACGAGGCTCCCTCCTGTCAGATGGAGGGAGTAAATACAGCAGCAAGCTTTGGGACGTTCTCCCCTCTCTCCGGCAGAAACAGGAAATGCCGTAACCGTGTGGAGGGGGAGTGGGCTATCAAGCCCTCAAACAACGAGTCTGCAGCGGTGCTGACTTGAGATCGGTCTCTACCTGACCGGAGTCACGCTGTGTGTGTCCGTCAGGAAACAAGCTGTTTACAAGTAGTTCCAGCAAACATCCACTGATAAACTGCGATGTTAACAACCTCATGATAACCTCATATGTTTTTAACTTAGGATCGTACCTGTGTTTAGTCTAGAAAAAGGTAAATGTGTGCATTTTATTATAAAGTTGTGTATATGTACAGACTGTTGCAAAAACTAAGAAGCTTATAAACATCAGGTTTAAAACTAAAAGAGCTTTGAAACACAATGAAAGATGTTTGGAGTTTTATTTGAGTTATTCATTTAAACTTTTTGTCTAAGAGATGCTGATTTGAAACCGTTGTTACATACAGTTACGGCATTTCCTGTTTCTGCCGGAGAGAGGGGAGTTTGTCCCAAAGCTTGCTGCTGTATTTACTCCCTCCATCTGACGGGAGGGAGCCTCGTTGAGCTGCGAGTGTGACTCTGACACGGAGTGGGTAGGGTGTGGTTTGGAATTGGGCCTACAGTACGTGTTACCGTGCTGCTGGTTGTAGGGAAGTCAGTGCACGGTGGCCGGGGTTCACCCATGTTGTGTGTGTGTGTGTGTGTGTGTGTGTGTGTGTGTGTGTGTGTGTGTGTGTGTGTGTGTGTGTGTGTGTGTGTGTGTGTGTGTGTGTGTGTGTGTGTGTGTGTGTGTGTGTGTGTGTGTGTGTGTGTGTGTGTGTGTGTGTGTGTGTGTGTGTGTGTGTGTGTGTGTGTGTGTACTGTATCTGCGTGCTTACAGTGTCTATGTTACTTTTGCACAGATCTCAAACGGAAATCATGATTTTCTGCAAACACACACCTCAGTCACAACTTGCATAGAGTGATCATTTAGCAATATGTCTTTGTTTCAAACCCTGGGTCGTTTTTATTCTGGGAAGTGTGTGTATCTACTTAAGATCTCTCATTGGCTGTCCAACAACATAATTACTGACCCCAAACATTTCCTGAACAGCAAATATGAATTGTTTCCATCAGATTGGAGGTACAGAGTCCCACGATTGAATAAAGTTAGACTGAAGCACTCCTTTGTGCACCAGTCAATCATCAAATCAAACACAGAGCTACATCCCAGATCTAATGTTAGAGGGTCTTGAGCATGTTTCTCATCAGTGATCGTGATGCTATTTCAAATGTCTGTTCTTGTCTTAAATATTTGACCTTGTTGATGTTACAAATGGAGCTTCTGTGATTCAGCAAAAATGTCAGACTCTAACTGAAAAGTGTTATCGTATCATATCATTGAAAACAAATGTATATTGAATGAATGATCCTAATCTTTAACCCAGTGTCAATGTATATCCACATCCGCTCCTCAGCATGGGGATGAGCCACGACGACGACCACGCCACCTGCACCGGTCACTCCCACATCATGTCTGGGGAGTGGGTGAAGGGCAGGAACCCCAGCGACCTGTCCTGGTCCTCCTGCAGCAGAGACGACCTGGAGAACTTCCTCAGGTGAGACACAGCTACAGGCACCACTTACTGACCAGGGGGGGAACATAAACACGTACGTTCTCTCAGTTTCAAGTTCATTATTTCAGATAAAACATTAATAACGATATGATACAATAATCCTTTAATGATCAAGTCTGAAATGTGACTTGCATCACAGCCAGTTAACCATTCAGTGTATGCAGTACTGTATATGTAGTTCTTTATGTAAACAACACTCATTAGTATATCTATATAGAAACTGATGCCCCAGCCAGTTGCCTTATGGTCAACTCCAGCTCAGTTCTGATTGGATTTGATTTATTATTCTTGTTTTTTTATGATTATGCAAACAGCATTTTTGAAGTTTAAAATAAATGCTGGAAAATAATCCTTGGGCTCTGTGAAAACAAACAAAGAGCAGATATTTGTGGAAGGCACGAGAGGAAGTCTTTACTTTTGCTCAGCCTGTATATCTAACAGGGTTCGTACGGTCATTGAAACCCTGGAAAAGTCATGGAAATTCAAAATGCAAATTCCAGGCCCTGGAAAAGTTCTGGAAAACAATATTTTTCCCAAAGTTTTGGAAAAGTCATGGAAATGTAAAGTTGCGTCAAATTGTATTTACATTTTATCTAATCGCCGAAATAATCTGCGGTCGCGAGCTGTTATGTGCCATCATGACGCGCATGGTGTTATTTTTTAATATATGAAGCGCGAGCTGTGAGCTCGAGTCTTCTTGCCTGTCAGGCCGGTTGATCTCTGCTGCTCCGGGATGAGGGTCAGCTACATTATCTACGGTGCGTTCGTTAACTGTGCGGAGTCACTGTGGCACAGACTGAGCCGCTGGTGAACAGCTGTTAGAACGGGCCGTTCAGGTGTTCAGAGCAGAGCGGCAGAGCGTGATGTGCACTGAAACGTTTTTCTGTCGCAATATCATTTAAGGAATCGTTGAGCTAGCTAGCTAGCTAGCTAGCATATATTGCCACTATCTGCTAACGTTAGCTTTAGCCTTCGTTTTCTAATAGTTTTTTTCATAGGGTATAAACAGAGGTGGTATAAGTATAGATATTGTGCTAGAGTAAAAGTAGAAGTACTCAGATCTTGTACTTGAGTAAAAGTAGAAGTACTCAGATCTTGTACTTGATTAAAAGTAGAAGTACTCAGATCTTGTACTTGAGTAAAAGTAGAAGTACTCAGATCTTGTAGTAAAAGTAGAAGTACTCAGATCTTGTACTTGAGTAAAAGTAGAAGTACCAGGGTGTAGAAATACTCTGTTACAGTAAAAGTCCTGCATTCAAAATGTTCCTCAAGTAAAAGTAGAAAAGTATTATCATCAAAATATAGTTAAAGTAGCGACAGTAAAAGTAGTCATTGTGCAGTTTGGTCCATTTCAGAATAATATATATGATGTGTTTTATAATGATTGATCATTAAAGTGTTCTCAAAGCTGGTAAAGGTGCAGCTAGTTTGAATGACTTTGTACACTGCAAAAACGCCCTGTCAAATTTAAGGCCAAACGTTCTAGATATAAGCATACTTGCACTTAAAACAAGCAAATTTCACTTGATAAGATGTCTTAAAACAAGTCAGGCTGTCCGACTGTCATTAGCCGCTTTCACACCGCAGGACTTGCGGTACTTTAGTACCACGGCACTGAATCCGCCAGGGGGCTAGTGCCATAAACGCATTCACACCGCAGTACTTTCCCTGAGGCAAGATTACGCTGACGTCACTTCGTCTTCTTCTTCTCTGGGTTTACTGGCAGGCCGCAAAACCACTTCACGGCGAGTACAACAAAAAACGAGAGAAGAAGAACTACACGGGGGAGGGGGTATAAAGCCCACCCGCTGTATGAGGCGTTTGTTTACTTTCCGACCTCAGACATGATGGAGTTCATAAGGGTAATTTACAAATAAAATACCCCATTATAACAATGGACTTTATCTTTATGTATTTATTATATATTACCCCCTCAGGCTGATTTTGGAAAAGGACATTAACCCTTGTTTGGTGTTTTTCCCTTATTTATCTAAAACAAATGACATGATAAATGATTTGTGTTTATGTGTGTAAGACTTGTGTTTCTGCCCCTGCCATTGCTGCACATTGTAGATACATTCAACCACCGACACCTGTCTGCTCTCACATTCTTCTATTCTGCACATTTGGGGTGGGACACAATAAATAAAGCTTCGCCAGTTTGTTTGTTTTATTGCACAGTCAAGACATAACAATAACGGCATCACGCTGTTCCAGGTGTGTCGTATGCATGTAAATTGAAGTTAAATAAAAGTGTGAAATGTAAAATAAAGTGTAAGTAGTTTCAAACAATGTAACAGTGGCAATATATATAGCAGCAGACACACCTTAGTGCAAGTTAGGTGTCAGTATTAAAAACAGTGGCAATATATATATATAATAACAATAGAAAATCGTTACCACTCTTATTATTGTGGTCTTTAATTTTCTTATAGTCCTGCCTGAGTTTCTTTATTTTTACCCGGCATCCGTGTGCACTGTGCACGATTCCCAGCTCAAGTAGCTTTTGCGAACATCGCTCAAAACATTTGGAGTTGGGAACTTCTTTCTGTAGAAGCTGCTGCATCCCGTCCTCAGAGTAAATTGCCAGAAGCGCCGACACTTCCTCATCATTCCACCGCTCCGGTGTTGTACGTGTAGTCATGCTTTAAAGTACAAACAACCTATTCGCTCAAGTTGGATGTGGTTTTGTAGCGAGGAAAGAAATGGCTGCCTAACAAAACAAAATCAGAGTCTAACGGGGCGTGGTTTGCAATTCGCCCAGCCAATAGAAATAGAATAGAAATTGGCACTCTTTTATCACCAGGTTACTATCACCTCTCTAGCACGGACTAAAAATTGCCAAAAGAGTTCCCGGCACTGAGTAGTCCCAACGGTGTGAACGCGACATTATTGGTACTAACGGAACTAAAGAACCAAAGTACCAGGGAAAGTCCTGCGGTGTGAATGCGCCTATTATAGCACATACAATCTTTGAAATAAGATTAAAAAGACTAATTTCAAGCACTCTAGTTAAGCCTATTTAATGCAAAAGAAGCCTATTATCACTCAAAACTAGGGTACTTTTAGCATCAAATTACTTAAAATGAGATTTAGGGAGGCGTGTGGCACAGTGGGTAGTGCGTTGGTGTTAGGATCAGGGGAGCATAGGTTCAAACCCCACTGCAGTCAGCATGTCGTTGTGTCCCTGAAGACACCACAGTATTGAGTATGTAAGTCGCTTTGGATAAAAGCGATAACAAGTTACATGTAATGAAATTCTTGTTTTTAGGGAGATAAATTAGAACACATGCTCTTAAAATAAGTAAACATGACAATTCTTTCAAAAAACACGTTTTTATTAAGTCAGTCCATAACAAACAGGATCATTTATTAAATGAACAAAGCTCTTCAACATATATACATCCTCATAGAACTTACAAACATTGGACACAGAATTCAAGTTCTCTACTTTTTTGTGAATTCTGCCCATTCAGCTATTGCTTTTTTGTATGAATGAGTAAGGTCACTCTCGTGAATACTGTCCTTCAGTACCTCAGTCTGGATGACGGATAGGAGAGTAGCAACACATTTGGGGTAGGTGAGGTGGAAGGTGTAAAAACACCCCATCAGGATGAGTGGAGCCTCGTGCATAATTTCCCTAGGTAGGGTCATCAGTGGGATTTTGCCAACAGGAGGTTAGTAGAGTCCAGGATGACTGGACTGGTGATGGGCCGTTTCTGGAGAAACATATTGGGGTCCTCGGATGGCTGAGAGCAACAAAGTAGAGACAAAAAGTAGAAACAAATTAAACCTCAGGGAATATCAAGTTTTATTTCAGTTTAACTGATACTGACTCAGACTCACCTCAAGAACATGGAACAGTGCCTCACTTGCTGACCCAAGCTTTTTGGGTGGGGCAGTTGGGGAAGGAAACATTGAGGGAAGTGCCTTCATCAAAGCAATCGCTTGTCCAGCTGAAAAACAACATGGATACATGATCAAATGCATTGTGCTTGTTTTTGTTAGGCAATTTGACTTTGACATTAAGTGTTGTGTAACTGAAAAGTAAGCACAAAAGCAAACAAATAGTTCTGTGCAGAGCCCAAGGGAGTATAAGCTAATCATGGAAAAACGATGCTGTTGGTGTGTATGCGTGTATCCCTGAAGCGACATGAATCTTAATGTCACCTTGGGAAATTGTACATAAACTGGTGCTACTTTTTTTTCAAAATTGGCCTGAATGAGACAGAGACAGAGCGTGGGATCACCAAAATCAAACGGTTCTCCTAGGGATATTGAATGTGCACAGCGAAATGAAAGAGTGAAATAAAAACCATTGCAGTTATTGGATCAGCAAACTGAAAGTTTGGCTGGATAGTGGGGGGGCAGCGGTTGGGGTGAATTTATAATATCCCTGACACTTTCACTGCAGGGGATTATAAAAAGCACTTGTCAGTTGCACAAGGGAAAGCAAAACCATAAGGGTCACCTGTATGCATGACATAAGGTAGTAGTGTTTAAACCCTCTAGTGACCACTACTACCTCATAACTACCATTTTGCCATAATTCAGTCATCAAAAAGGAGATCCTGTCCTATCAAAATAATGAAAATAAGCTAATACAATCACATCCCATGCGGCCATTAAATGGTCACCCCAACCTATAAAACATCAGTGTTATCTATACATAATGCTTACATGTATCCAGACCCATTGGTGGCTTCAACGACTTGTTCCACACTCCAAAGAACAGCGCATTTTCGCAAAAGCTTTCCCATCTGGCTTTGATCTGGTCAGTGAAGTTCTTGTTGCCTGCCTCTAGAATTTGGCCCATCTCGTCCAAAACCTGAGTGTAAAAATCAATAGAACTTTGATACAGAGAAAACAGCAAACAGATGTTAGATGTCTAAATAATTAACAAGAGATTTACCTTTTAAGAGTGACACAGTTGTGTCATCAAATCTATCCATCTCACCATGAAGAAGCATTCTGTAATTTAC